TCAAGTCCATTAATTAAGTTAGTTGGTTGGTCCATTAGATAGATGTATTCATTTAGTCAGTCAGTTTTGCTGTCAGTGACTCCAGTTTTGGGATGAGCTGTAGCAGTCAATTAAGTCGTTATGAAGTCTTTATACAGCAGTTCATATGAAAAATTTTAATATCAAGGTGACACTCTGCACAAATATAATGCATTCACTGAGAGATCTATATTTGAATTTGTTATGGAAATTACAAGATTGACAGATAAAGCATTATTATAATTATACAATATCTGTCAAATAAATGTAATGAATTAGAATTTTTTAAGCCAATTCTGCAGCCCACCAATTCCCTCAATTGTTTTGTGATAATGCACTTTTTACATGCAAATTGGTGAAGCATATGCCAATAATGAAAGAAATGTAACAACTCTTCAGTATAGCAAAACATGTCAATGTCCACGATATTTAAAATATGTACTAAGGTTTCCAGTAGGCCTACTGGGTTGTGTAAAGCTTAAATAACTTCAGGTTCATCATAAAGATATTTTATGTATTCTGACATATCACAATGTACACATATGTAAACAATGTTAATTATGAAATTATAAACCATTATCATCACAAACATATTGGTTATAATAAAAAATACAATGATTTCAACTAATCTTATATGTCACACTGATTATGTCTTCTGCTCAATTACAACACAGCAAACAATTTTTCATAGTTTGGAAATTATAACAGTACTCATACTCTTGCCAAGTTCATAAAATTCTATTTTAAGAAAACGTATCAAATTACTTATAAATCTTGTTGTTATGAACTTATGTATGTCCAGTTTTGTAACATCAACTCTTACTGTGAAACTCAAAATGATCATTACCTTATGATGTCATCTGCACTAGGTGCAATGTGGTGCTATGAACTCTGGAGGAAATTGGATTTAAAATGACTAGGTTAAAACTTACATCTTTTATTATTCTGGATAAGAAAATAACTAAGCAATAAACAGTATATAATTCTTTTGGAAATTGGTATTAATTTTCAACCTGCAATAAATTGGTCATGCAGCTTTCTGCTATGGAAAAACCAATGACCTCAGTATCTGTGTCATACAGGACAAATGTGCTCAACAACCTTGACTTTTTGTGTATTTGAGATGAATATAAACATAAAGTCACTGGACAAAAAAGACAAAATTTGGATTCTCACTATTATGAGAGACATGTAGAACAAGTCACTGGACATAAAATCACACATTGAATTTGAAATATTGCAGCATTTCATATGACACAATTCAATTCCAACTTCTTCATTGAGATGTTAACACAATAAACAAAATATTGGCTGTATTATTTATAATAACATTTCTAACATATTGGTCTCTATGCTATATGTTTATTTTACAATATTTCTGTAAATCGGAAGCCCTAAATAAACCTCAATGTCATATGTTTGTTTTACAATTTACACCTAGAACTTAATAATCTAAACAAAATTTACATTTTTCTGTGAAGCCATCAATTTACTACAGTCATTAATAGTAATAATTATAGAATGTAACTTTATAACCTTTGAACTTTGTTCTACAGGTTCACCATTATTTTGTCCTATGATTTTAAGTTCTTTTAACATTTGATAATAGGGTTTTATGATCTTTAATCTACAGAAATTTGATGAATTTTTAAAAATTATGGATCTAATTTATTATGGACTGTGATAAGTTACCTATTCCCATATGTTTGATGTAATAACCCTTACTTGGTTATAGATTTTCAACTATGAAATGCATACCAACCTATATATTTCTAAGTGATATTAGATTCACTAGACTCTGGCTATCAATTGTACTCTATTACAAATTGAGTCCAACTGTAAACTGCAGACCCAGATCTGCCATCACATAATACACTGGCATATCTGGGTCTCTACAATTAATTTTGGAATAATCATTACAACAACCCTGATTTGCATGTGCATTATGCTACATCAAACCAGAATCTTTGTTGTTTGCAGTTTAATTTGACTTATAAGCAAGTATATATGGTATGTAAATATATCAGATTTACAACAGTTTAATTCTCCAACTTGTACAATTAAGCAATTACAGAGCACAACACTAAGGCAAGTTATAATGCATCTTAAGACTGCTTTTCATTCTGTTTTGAAAGTCAGCAGTAGCAAATTGGGTGAATGTTTCAACTTTCTCCCCAAATTCCCCCTAAATGATTGCCTAGTGTGAGATTGTGGAGTATGTAACCTTGGATTGTGTTATTCTTGTTATCACATTACCACCACACCTGGTTTTCAATCCAGAAGCAGACTGTGAATCACTTCAGTTATCTCCCTAATGAACTTTCCAAAAATCAACTGAGTACCAACTTTTATGGGATTTCTGTCCAGAACTACCTATACACTTCAACCAAGACTTTCTGATCTGCCAATATTAGATTTAAGCAATCAAACTTCCTAAGATGGAGGGGGGGAATACATATAGTTGACTGGTAACTGAATTATATATAACCTAGGTAGGGGACCCAGATTTAAAAAATACATCTATGTTGTCATATTCCAAAATATTTACAGTGGAAACAGATACATGGACAACAAAATGCTGCAATTAAAAAACAAGAGACCAAATTGGGCCTGATACTGCTTATATGGCTTACATAATCTTAACAGCTTACCATTTCACTAAGGATGTTTTAATGCAGTAATGAAAGAATATATGCTGAATAAGCAAACTTTACATCATGTTGATTTTATGTATTTATCAAATGCAAATAGATCACAAATATGGCTTTAAGAGTGGTAAGAAGCCAAGTTCAACAGATGCGTGATCATCGCATTAAAATGCATTGACCTTGCACATTACTGAACTTATATGAGATCTTAATGATATAAGTATATATTCCAAGGTTGATAAAATAAAATTCAGATAAAAAAATATGGACTCCACAGTTATCCATTCAGCTGCTACATCATATTATCAATATACTTGAATCTTGCTCATTACTGAACTGATTCAAAATTTTATAATATAAACTCATATTTCAAATTTGAGCCAAATTAAGTCAGAAATTGTGAACTCTAGATTAGTAACAAAAACAACTGTTTATGGATGGACAGATGAAGCTTGATCTATGACAGATTAAGCATGATGTATGACAGATGATGCATGGTCATAACATAATCTCCCTTAGACTTATAAAGTGGTGAGCTAAAAGCTAATTCTACTTAAAAAATACACTGATGTAATTTGTAAAATTTAGTACAAAAGATCAAAGTGGGTCTAAAATTATGCTATTATAATTGCAGTAACATAATACAGCCATCAGTAAAAATCTTTGAAAAATGATAGTACTGTAAATTGTACATTATATTCTAGTCATATTTCTTTTTGTTAAAGCTTCTATTACTGGTTGAATACTTGACATTATGAATCTGAAATCAATAGGTATCTTCTTTATCTTAAATAAAAGCCATCCACAAAATTTGATCAAGGTATAAACACACACACAGTACTTTGACCTTTGGCCCCAAAAATCAACAGGCCTCTTTCTTACCCAAAGCTATTGATAAAGTTTAGTAACAGATGGTGTAGAACTGTATTTACTGTGGGGAAAACAAAGTGGGAACAGATGGACAGATGGATAAATAAACATCATAATGCACTCAACCTTACAGTACCTGCATAAAAGAAATTGCATTAATATGGTAAAGCTGTCCCTTTACAATGCCATAGTCAGGATCCATCATTGCTGACCATGTTATGTAGTGAGTCACCTTGTACTGATGACCATGTTATACTGAGAACAGCAATATAATGGAATAGTGCAATATATTAAGAGCCATGGTAAAGCTGGCACTATCAAACATTTTTAAATAATTTGTTAAATGATAGTGAAAGGAAATGAAGATATAAAACTGTTTCTTCTTTCAATCCATGACTGTTGAAGATTGGTGTAATTTTTGTCACAAGGTCCACATTACATGATATCCATAACCACACTAAAATGAGGCAAGTTACAATGGGGCAAGCTGTATATGTCATTTGCAATGAAAAGGTTTAAGACTTTCATAATATAAAAATGCATAGCAAGTTGATCCACATGTGTCTGATGATATAATTTCAATGATGTTAACAAGTACAACCAATCACTAAGTCTCTCATCAATAGGCTGAAATGTCACTCACACCTGATTGGGATCTTGATGCAAGAAGCAGAAAACTTTGATTATATATATATCTTTCAGAAATATAAACTTTTGGGTTCCTGACAGTGAGCAAGAGTAATGTGACCAATACTTTTTATGCCTGTCCTGTTGTCAAGTCTCCACTTAATAGTGTTGGTACCATTCAGAACCAGTTCCTTTTCTGATGGAGTGTACGATCATGACCTTTGATTTCTAGCTAACTCTCTTCCTCCCTGTGTAAACTTTTAATGAAGATGAATTCCAAGTTGAACTCTCACCAACCTTGACCATGACCTTTTAACCTCAAAGCAAGTGTAATTTCTTGCAAGAACAAACAATTTTTCCTATGTATATAGACTCAGGTCAGTTCACTACTAATCATATGGTATCTTAACACTTTTTTAAAGTTAAAAAAAATAAAAGATAAAGGAATGAAATGTAAATCCTTAAAATATACATTACAAATTTGTTTGATAACACATACCCTCATGACAATGCATTCCCTATGACAAAGTAATATGAGATTAATGTCATTTATATGGAAATACTACTAAAACAAATATGTGATTAAGGTCAGTTATATGGATGTGATTATGATTTTTAATGTAGCTTTAACAATTTTTCAGTCATATCACTATGATGTCTGCAGTGTGGCAGTTTATAGTGATGTCTAGCACTGGGGCATCATGCTGCAGACATGTAGCATGATATCCTACCCAGTCACATTATCCTGACACCAGGCTTGCCAGTCCTTACACTAACCTCTTAATGCTAATCATCAAGCAAGGCAGTTGTTAGTACCATTTTTGTAAGTCTTTGGTATGACTTGACTGTGGATCAAACCCATGACTTCCCACATTCTAGGTGAATGCTCTAACCACTAGGCCACCATACAGTTCCCAGTTACATGGAATTACTAGCAAAAAATATGGGATTGTCAATTACATGGAAATACTAAAGACAAAATATGGGATTAATGTCAGTTACATGGAAATACTAGTGACAAAATATGGGATTATTGTCAGTTACAAGGAGATACTAATGACATAATATGGGATTAATGTCAGTTTCATGGAAACTAGTAAAAATGTAGGAGATTAATGTCAGTGACATGGAAACACTAGTAAAACAATATAGGATTAAGGTCAGTTTCATGGAAACTGTAGTAAAAATGTAGGAGATTAATGTCAGTGACATAGAAACACTAGTAAAACAATAACTGGAAATACTAGCAAAAAAAACAAATTTCCATCTACAGACTGTATGGAAACTAAATTTTTAAATGAAATTTCAATAAAAAGGCAGTTTAAAATTCTCTGGAAAAGAATTGATAGAGTATTATTAACTTTTATGAAACAAAACACAACACAATTGACTGTAGACATAGATATTCTTACACTGTGGTGGCTTTTGTAAGCTCAATTACCAGGCAGCAATTAAGCATCATAATATACAATATGTATGGCAATCATATAATAAAGACTGGTCAGTTACATACATACAACATGTATGGTAATAGTTTATATATTTTAATTATATACTAAACACTGGTCAGTTACCTACATTCAATATGTACAGTAATCATATAATAAAGACTGGTCAGTTACATACATAAAATTTGTATGGTAATTACATAATAATGACTGGTTAGTTACCTACATAAAATATGCATGGTAATCATATAATTAAGACTGGTTAGTTACCTACATAAAATATGTATGGTAATCAATAATAAAGACTGGTCAGTTACCTACATACAATATGTATGGTAATCATATAACAAAGACTGATCAGTTACCTACATACAATATGTATGATAATTATATAATAATGACTGGTTAGTTACTTACATACAATATGTATGCTAATCATATAATAAAGACTGGTCAGTTACCTACATACAATATGGATGGTAATCAATAATAAAGACTGGTCAGTTACACTATAATATGTATGGTAATCATATATAAAAAGATTGGTCAGTTACCTACATACAATATGTATGGTAATCAAGAATAAAGACTGGTCAGTTACCTATATATAATATGTATGGTAATTATATAATAAAGACTGATCAGTTCCCTACATCAATAAAACTAGCTAAATTGATGTTTCTTTGTAAAATTGAAATTAAATCTGCACAGAACAACTACAGACCCATTTCAATCCTTACTTCCATGCCAAAATTATAGAAACGTGCATGATTCTGTAATGTTATTTTTACAAACAAACAAAACAACACTTAATGAAAACCAGTTTGATTTCCAACAAAACCACTCTTGTGAAATGTTGTTATTATCAATGGTAGATAATTGGTTAAAGGCATTAGTTGATGGCAAATTGGTTGGAACAGTAATAGTTGACTTCAGAAAGGCTTTTGATCTAGTGGACCATCAAATTCCTATTAAGATAATTCAAAATCTATTGCTATGGTAAAAACACTATTACCTGTTTTGAATCACTCAACTGGTCTCAAAAGGTATCATTAAATGGTCATCTTTCTGAAAAAAAAACTCTCAAAGTTGTGGAGTGCAACAAGGGTCAATTTTAGTTCAACTTCTCTTCCCAATTTTTACCTCTACTGATTACATTTCAGAACAGCTTATGGAATGATCTGTTGTCCATCATTCCTCCATTATATGTTTGTCCATTAGCACACGTTTGTTATTACTACTACTCCTGAACATCTTGGATGATTGTCCTGAAGCTTTACATGCTCAAATTCACACCATGGTCTAGTTGGTCCTAAATGAAAATGTTGCTGCTTGGACAATCCATATGGCCACCACAACAATCCTCTTGAAAATCTTGTTATTGCTAACCCTCTTGAATGGATGGTCATATCAACACTAAAACACTTCTGATAATGTCTAGTTCATTCTAAATAAAAATGCTGTTGATCTGACATCCACTATTACCGTCATATCAGACATATTGAAAACTTTGTACTCCTACCCCTCCTGAATGGATGCTAATATCAACATGGGGTTTTCACTAAAGGACTTGTTCATCCTAATGAAAATGATGCTGATATGAGATCCAATATGGCCACCATGGTAGCCATCTTGAAAAAAATGTTACTGTTATTCCTCTTTCATGGATTGTCATATCATCATAGGGTTTTCACTCAAAGACTTTTAGCTGGTTCTAAATGCAAATAATGCCAATCTGACAACCAATACAGTATCCACAGCTGTCATCTAAAACATTTTGCTATGACAATTCTACCTGAAAAGAAAGTCATACCGACATGGTGTTTTAATGACAAGACCTTTTATGCTGTCTATTTGGTCTGAAATAAAAATGGTGCCAATCTGATATCCAGCATGGCCACCAAGGTAGCCATCTTGATAATCCTGATTTCGCTACTCTTCCTGAATCAACATGACATTTTCACCGTTATATGGTGGCATATCAGAGTACAGGTGGAGAGAGCTGGTGCAAACCTCCAACAACAACAGTGAGCACAAAACCAGAATATTTCTACATTATGTTCATTTTCTTCAAGTTAGATTATTAAAATGCTGCCCTTGAAATGCTTAAAATAGACCATGCACCTACTTGCTTATGCCTGCCACTCCCTCCACAAACAATATTTCTGGGTCTGCCATGGTTATATTCAATACACTCACATTTGTGCAAACTAAGGAGTACTGCCCACTCCTATGATTGGGTGACTGCAAATGTCAACTCTTTAACATGAGGAAGTAACAATATATTTTTACAAGGACAACAGCAACATATATTTCTAGAATATATTTAATAAGAAATAAAAAGAAAACTAATCATGAATGCTAAATAAAACACTACAATTATCTTTTGTTAAGACTAATTCAAGTCTACACTATGCTATGCCCTTAAAAGTTGATTATGTGCCCTAAACAATCTAAACTCTGATACTTCAATCCAAGATTTTAAATAAAAATTCACAGTCCATTACCATCTACATTTACTTTTGTTTTCACTGGTAGTAATTTCAAAATTGATTCTACTGAAGACTGGTAAAATAAACATGGTGATAACACTACAAGAAATCAAATTTTAGCTTTAAAGTCTGAAGATTTCACAACAACTGTAATTCTTCAAGAAGCATTGAATGAGTGACTGAAGAATAATACTATATTAAATCAATTAAACTGAATGTTAACCTATGCAGATGGCATATGCATCCTTAAGGAACTTTGCTACATGAATCAAAGAGTGTACAGTGAATGAACACACAATAAATCATACAAGCTTTGAACAAGTTTGTACTTGGCACATGTCCTTAAAATACCCAGAGTGAAGTTTTGTTCTCAGCACATTTCCTAATTTATCCCAAGTTAAGTTTTGTACTCAACACAAGTTTTAAATTACCCTGAGTGAACTTTTGTACTTGGCAAATGTCCTAACTTATCCAAACTACTTTTGTACTCAACACAAGTCCTAAATTACCCTGAGTGAAGTTTTGTACTCAGCAAATGACCTAAATTAAGCAAATTACTTGGTGAAATTCAAGCTTTAAGGCACACTAGTTTGATTTTTCAGTTTATTTAATTCAATAAGTGGACTGGAAAACATGACTGAAGGCTACTGTCTTGGATAAATTGAATGTACTGTTATGTATATGTAATTTAATTGCTTGTGTGTTAGTTTTACATTCTTTTTTATTTATTTTTATTTCATTTATTTACATGTTATTGTCATGATAACTTTATTCACTGGATTTGACATTTTTTTTGGAAAATTTAGTTCAGTTCTGTTTTGCTACATCAAAGTTTTAGCTTTGTTCCTGACCTTGATTTAGAAATAGTAAACAACTTTTTCAAAATTTCTATCCCAGTGTGAAAATCAATGGACACAATCAAGGTCAAATTTGGCTTGCATGCCACTCTGTTTTAAACATTTTTACCTTTATTATTATTGAATTTTACAGTACAATTTCTTAGGTAGAATCAAATTCATCCATGGCGTATCAATTGGCCTATGATCTTACTGTGCCATTCGAATTAAGTGGCCATGTAATCCCACAACATGATCTAAAATTTCATTTAAAACTAATGTTTTCTAGTGATTCAATTCAGTTGTAAATTAATACCTTCAGAGCTTAAAGATATTTTGTGTTGTGACCAATTTGAGTTGAATTTTTCTAGTTTTCTGAATTGGAAATTAATTTCTCTGGAAAACATACTACATCAAAATTCTTGGACAAAGACATTTATTGGAAGTTATTCATAGTTTCTAAAGCTGGAATACTATTCTTGATTCATAATATTCAACTAGGAACTTTTGACACAACAGCAGAAAATGGGATCTAGAAGACGTCACTGCCTTCCATCTTGGAACTTCATTGCGATTCAGCCTTTGATTCATTTAAAACTTTTAGTGACAGGACTTATATTATTCATTCTAGGATTAATTTTGGATTAGATTTACAAACCATAATTCCCATTTCTATATTTTTCTTTTCTTTGTTACTTTTGAACAAGCTAAAAAGTAACAGTATGATCTTGTGTTGTCTACTTTATCTACCATATAAAGTGTGGCCATACTCTGAATAGTAGGTCACACTTCAAACAGTAATTCCGTTCTGATATAATCCTGCTGTGAAATTTGTAGAAGAATTAAATAATTAATAAATAAAATTAAATAATAAATAATTCCTCAGTTGACAAGATCCATGAATCAATTGCTTTGCTACTTTCCTAAGAATCCAATGAGAAAATCTCAAATTTATTGGTTAGGGACGTTACATGATTCCCACTCAATAATGTATAAAAATATAAGTAACTTATTACATGGGAGTGGAGGTGGTATCAATATTACCAATAAATTTTCTCATGTCCTTGTGTAATAACTATACTGCCAATGGTTTTCCAATGCACAAGATCTTTGTAAAAATGATAATTGGGTCAAAAT